TACACCTGAATTAGGGCAAGGCAAATTTGTTTGACGCTCGACTGTCAAACTGATATGCAGCAAAGCCCCAGCCAAAAGACAGTTACCTGGGATTAACATCAACATCCAAGCATCTGGGACTGGCTGAATGATAAAGAAAAATCCTGATCTGTAAAATGAAGCAGTAAATATGGGCAAGAAGGTGTAGCAGTACCATTTAGCTGCCTCCAGGCTTGTATAGAAAATAGTTTACTACTGAATAAGTTATGATGGTTCAGACAAGGACTGCCTGCACCAGATCAGAATTTCTGATTTAATTCGAAACACTTAACCTTGCTGCTATTTGGATTTGTTCCTTGTAACTGACTACACATGCAGATGGAGTTTGCTTGATTGGATCCCTGAAGGAACAAGGCCTTGATTTTTACAGCCACTTCACAGTATGACTGTAGCCACGTGCCAGCTTCAAACACCTGCTCTTTGCCAGGATGAGAGTTAACAGAAGATATCTTTACCAACATAAAGCCTATAGGAATTTGGGACAGCATGTCAACACTATGTAATACTACAAATGCAGGTTCCAGATTAACTGAAATTCATAATTAGTAGCAGATTTCCCATTTCAAAGTGCCTCACAGAAGAGACTACGAGGGTCATCAGCAGATGATAACGTCAGAGCAGTTTTCTGTATGTCCTATTCTCATTTAAAACTACAAACTTATTAAAATAACATTGCTTGCCTCTGCCAAGAGACTGAATGTATAGAAAATAGTATTCTGTTTCAATAATTAGTGAGATACATGGATATTTTTAGCTGACTGTTAAATGGTTCTTAGTCTTTTGGCTATGTGAAAGAATATATAAGGTTATTCTCATGCCCTGTACCAATAAATATTGTTAAATACCACATCATGTTCATTTATTGGTCATTTTGTTTATTTTATTGCTTATTTTAATGTATTGGTTATTTAAATGCTTAGCAGCTTATCAAAACCTTTAGCAACTCAGATAACAAAGAAAAGAGATATTTTCAGATACTTTTTAGATCTTTTTTGTGTTTGGATGCCTACGCAAGCCTTTTCACAGCTTGCTTTTATATGTAATGCATGCTTCTTCCATCTGCGCTATTTTAGGAGTGTTGTAGGATGGAAGAGATGCCCCAGAAAGTCTCCAGAAGCCTTGTGGTGTCCTTTCCCAGGAGTTCCCCAGCTCGATGCAACGCCTGTTGAAACCAAGGGAAGCTTCACATTGGCTGTAGAGGACTTTGGGTCAGCCCATCAAAACATTAACTAAAATGCTTCTATATTTATCTGCTTTGTTTTGATTTTTTTCATGTGACATTACAGAAGAATGTTTAACTTCATAAAACATAAAAAAAATCGCAATTTATACTGTAATAAGAGAAAGTATGTTTACATATATTATCCTTAGAGGCTTGCATTCTCAAGAACGTACAGAGATTAGTCAGTTTTGGCATTACCATTTAGTGAGTATAATAACATAAATTGAGCTCGAATCCTGTGCAGGGAAAAAGCCTACAGGTAGAATAATTTGTTCCACCATCAGCTTGATTAAGACATGCTGCATTATGTTCTACATGCTGCATAAGATAGTTTTAACCATGCAGCTGTTAAGAGCTAAGGCACAGGTTCTCAGGTCTCTTCAGGTGCCTATCTCTACTGAAATCTATAAAATAATTTAGTCATCATAACACTGAGTTTTGGCACGCCTAACTCTTAAGAGAATTGACACCAGAAAAGAACCCATAGTCTGAAGTCTAGGCAGTTAGATCCTTTATAAAATGCTCTATGAGAGCTAGATCTCTAAGACAGAGATTTAGAAATCCCAGCATATAAGCTGAGGACCATGAACCATAGCCAATATGAAACACAAAGAGAAAAAAATAGAAATCCGAAAAGGTATAAGACTGAATCTCCCTACAGGACAACAGAAGAGAGGTAGTCTGATTTTAGAGCTGCAGTCGATACGAATTTATATCAGATCTCACATACCCTGCCTCTCTGGCCTCAAAAGGAGACGGATGCTAGCAGAAGAGTCGGAAAGAGCACCTAGTTCAAATTTTCCTAGAAGAGCCTGCATGTGTGTAGGGTAACCTCCTACTGTGGTTCAGCAAGTACCTCATAACTGTGCCATTGTGCAGATGACGACCAGCACACTGCAGATCTCTGCTGCTTTGTCCTCACAAAAACATCAGACCTGTTCAGAGAGAGAGACTGAAACTTGATAGATATTTCTGAATTATTTCAAAGTACAGCTTTGTTGTACTGATCTGTACTTAGTTTGATGCCCCCTTGGGCTGTAGAATTATACTTCTTAGTTTAACTTGGATTTGAAGGTCTTCCTCTGGATGCAGACTAGCAGGAATTTTTAGGAATGCACCTGAAAAATGTTTTTAGTTGTTGGAGGAAAAACCCCTCTATCTCTCAATGGAAGGAAGCAACGTGCCTATTTTGTACTTTGATTAAAAGGTATTGTACTTTTGCCTGAAGCGGAAATCTATTCCGGATCCAAACCAAGGCTTATATGCCTGCCTTGGAGAGGTGGTAGGGTATAGGTTCCTCTGACCAAAACTGCCATCTTAACAACTGATGCACAAGTGCTAGTTACCTCAGAAACAGCTAAATCTTACCACACCTAAAGTCATCCTCAGGAGATGTCCTCCCTCTCTTGCCTCCTCCAAACAGGTTAGCTTTAATTTAATCATCTCAATTCAATGGATAAATTGCATGGGAGAAATGTAGGCCTGGATCCCTGGATCTATGTTTGGATACCAAGGAATACTGCAATGTTCATAAAGATTCATTAACTTATCATAGGCAGTTGCTACACTTTAACATATTTATAGAAGAATTTGAAATTTGTTTTACAAACCAGTGAGTGCAAACTCTTTAGCTATTATAAGTAGTGAGAGTGTCTTAACTAAGAGAACAAGAAGAGTCAAAACTGAAAGCTAATCAAGTTCTTCCCAGAAAACATTAGGAGACATTTTGTATCCCATTAGTATGTACTTCAGTCCTACAGCATAGCAAATAGAATATAAAAATGAATCATTTTGACACCTTTCCCTCAAAAATTCCACCACAGTTAGCACTCTGATTTTAACAAATTGCATGTTTCTGACAGAAAGTTGTTCTATCAGAAAATTTTCAAACGGAATATCTCTACTTCTCCTAGCTACCAAGAAGGCTCTTTAGAAAACTTTAGTGGTTTTCCTGCATCTATTTTTTGAAATAAGTAGTCTGAATTTCATTTGGGCTTTTTTCTTTTAAAGAGGGATCATTCTAAACTCAATTTATTTCTTATTGATTGTATGTAGTGTAGCCACAGTCTCCTTTAACTTAAATGGAATTTAAAGTACCTCTATCTACAAAGCAGTTCTGTCAAAAAAAATAATGAAAGTTTTCCTCATTTGCCTTCAAGAGCTCTATCAACATAGTGCTTGTTCACCTTACAATCATTTGTTTACCATATTTATTATGACAATAACTCATTGAGGTTGAATATAAGGATAATAGCACATGTTTCAGGAATGAAAAGCTGCTAATAGGTGCAAAACCACAAAGGTGTAAGCCCAATAAGATTGTTAAGGTTCTTGGCCAAAGGGAATAGTGAAGGCCAGTTGGAGTTATAGAGTATATTTCAAATGTTTGCCCAGGTCAAATATTATTACTAACCAAATAATTTGTAATTGTCTTATGCAAGTAAATTCTACTTCAAGAATACTTAACCCTTGGGAAACCGGGAAGCTGAAAGTTCATGGAGCGCCTTGGAGACAGGCCAAGTAAGCTTCCTGCTCTTAATCACCTCTAGAAGAGCATTCTTCTCACTGTTGCCTGGAAGGAGAACCTTGGCAGTATTTCCACCGTCTCCCAAGGACTGACCTTACAGTGGCATTTGGGAGATATATAGGTCTCTCGCTGAAGATGATAAACCCGCCTGATCCTGACTAACTGCCTCTCTGATTGCCCAGGGGTGCCTTCATTAGCTTTATATTTAAAAGACATTGGAGTATTGTCACAGATTCAGGACAGAGGTAGATCTGGGGGAGATGGAGTTCCTGCTCCCAGCACTATTTATTAATTTTATTCAAAATAGTCATAGGACAGAAAAAACAGGAAGGCCCTTGGTTATGGGATTAATACATATGTCTTCTCTTTCTTGGTTAATATCCTAATCACCAGAGTTCTATTTGTCCTTTCTCTTCCCTGTCTCCTGACTCTTATGCTCCTTTCTACCTGATGTGGGTCTCAAAGTGTAAACACCTCCAGCATCATGGATATGAAAGGAGAAAAAATGAGCTTGAATCCACCCAGATGGAAAGGAAACTAGATACTCATCCCACCCCCATTTTCTGGGAGAAAGCTCTATCCATCCCACAAGAGGTAGCTATACATATCTTTCTCTTTTTAAAAGGAAAACAGTGAACTCCACCCTATTTCTTTTTCTAACAGTTAAAGGCACCCACTATTGCACTTGTCACTGTCAGTTGGACAGAAAACTGGCCTCCAGCACTTCCAAGCAGTCTAATTTCAGAAGATGGAATAGAGGACCAGACATGTTCGTACGACCTGTGTTTTCTGTTGACTCACTCTGAATAAGGCAGGTCCTTATTCAGAGTGTGGGTCTTTAACTCAGCCTTCAAGGTGCCCCGTTCTCCTCATTCATTATCTAAAGAGCACCAGGGCATTAGCTGCAGATTTTGGATTACAAAATCCGAAGTCCACGCCATGCCATGTTAGACACCTTCAGCCCCCAGCTGGAGATCATGTGAGTCTTTTTGAAAGACGATACGCTCCACTGTCCCTCTGGACTGACTAGCCAGACCTTTGACTAAGCAGCCATTAGAACACACTAATCAAGGACAAAGAAAGCAAGCAGATCACTGCAAACCTTCTGCATAAGACAGAATCTGCAGAATCCCCTGGATGTTCATCAGCTACTTTAATTTCTTTACAGTCAGTCCCTTCATAACTCTGATAGCAATGGCAGACAAATTTCTTTCATATTATTTCCAGATCTTCATTTGATGCTTCTCCTCTCACAATAAATCCTTGGTCCTCTGAGGCTTCTATCCTGAAGTTCTTAGGATTCAGATGTAAATATGCCTGGGCTTTCCAGGTTCTTCGTACACATCGTCCATTGTCCTTAGAAAGTGTGCCTACTGCACACTTCAGCTGCTGTTGTTATATTGATAATGTAGGGTCCTAATTCAGAATCAAGGAATTGCTGCACTTTTGTGCAGTTTCTCTGTAAATAGCAGAGAAGAGAATTTAGCTGAAGTGAAACTAACTACTCTATTTTTTCTCTTTTTCACTCAGAAAAATGTACACTATGTAAGCAGCCCTCATTAAAGCTGACTGGATTCATTCAGGATAACTTAACTTTGACCAATCCAATTTAAAGGATTATTAGAGGTTTTTATACAGAAAATATAACCTAATAAAAGTGCAGATATTTGCAAAGGCGTTTAGCAACTTGCACTCCCCAGAAAACACTGCAGCCTGGAGATCCAGAAAGAAGCCATGATGGATACTAGAAATGCAGGTCAGGACAGTATGAGAGTGTGGCAAGAGTGTGGAAGTCAAGACCTGACAGAGGTGCTGCAGGGGCTTGACCCAGCTGGAAGGTAGCTCAGCTCTCCTTTTCACATTGACAGATGCGACAGCTGAGTATTCCTAAAAATTGGCTGAAGCAGTTGAGTTTGCTGACAACCGCACAATTATCTCCAGCCATTCCTTCACATGCTAGCTAGGTTTTCTGTACTATCTGCCAGGGGAGAAGTGGCCCAGAACATCTATTTCACATGATTTTAAGAATAAAGTCCTTTCTCATGACAAAGTTTGATGTATGGGCGCCTGAAAGTTCCAGGACATTTTGGAGCCTCAGAAGTCAATCTTTGAGTTTAATGTGGCCAAGTCCAATATCATGTAATCCAAAGTCCTTCCATATGATCTCAACAGACTGCTTCATTTTACATGCCCATACACAAGCACAAATGGATTTCCCCTGACCAGACAAATTGCAGGGCAGTGCTGGTATACCTACTCCTGCCTGACTGATCTGCTAATCAGGCTTTAGCTGGTTTCCTGGTGTTTTACTCAGCTGGAAAGGAATCTGTCCAGGATTATAAATATTGAGGAACTGTCTTCCAGAATGCCTAATGGTCACCACTGGTTTCATTTCCTACCACTGGTGGCCTATAAGCCTCACAACACCTTGTTAAACCAGGAGAAATTGCATGTTCCATAGTAATCCTGACCAGGAACAACAGAAACTGACTAAGCAGTTAGCTCTGCTGGTACCAAGTACTCAGAAGAACTGGTGTGGTTAGACACTGTCTAATAATAGGATAAAATGATGATGTTACGCATTGCATTTATGTCAGGCACAGGCTTACCTCTGAAGAAGTTAAATTCGTATCTCCCCAAATAACAATCCTGTAGCTCCCAAGGCAGCACTTTCTCCAATAGTGCTAATAAGATCTTGCTATAGTGAAAAGAATTCTGACATGACTGTCAGAATATTTCAGTATTTCACAGCATTTCCAAAGCAAGCCAGTGACTTGTTGTGGCAATCCTTCAGAGTACATTTTCTTTTCTTACCTGTCCCTATAAGCTTTTTTATTTTAACTCAAGGTTTGCTTTATGGGGTACAAAGATAATTAAACATAGGTTGATCCTTGTAAACTTAGGTACTGCCTGAAATGCTGGTAATAAGCAAGTTACAAGTACTGGGAAAAGAATGCATTTCAATTCATTTTGATGCAAAATTTAACTGCAATCATGTGATATCTCATCACTTATTGGGAGCAACTCAAATCTTTTTATTAAAGTGGGATTTTAACGTGAGAATTCCCCAGATCATTCCACGAGTTCATATCTTGCTGATAAGGGGAAGGAGAGAGTTACTTTCCAATGTCATTCAACTATTTTCCAGTCCCACTCAAATCTGAAAGCTGTGATTCCAATAGTGTGCGTTGTTCTTGCTGCTTTCAGTAGGAGCTCACTTAAGTTCTTACACAAACTCTATAAAATGTTATTGTAAGTAAGCACAAATTATGGGAGGGAGAATGCTGGCATTGCGCAACCTTTAATGAAAGAGAAATGCAATAGTTTGGGAATCTTAAGAATTTCAGTTTGAATTTTCATGCTATTTCTATGTTTGTGCCATTGGAGATGTCTTTCATTGTACCTTTTCCTCATATCACAACATTTAAGGAGAGGGTATTTGGAGCATGGATGTTTTTCCCTGATTTGCACAGTGAATTACTATGCCACAAGCACGACATTTTACACTGAAGGTGAAAGATCGTTAGCAGGCGGGCGACTCCATAGTCACCATCATAGATATAAGGGAGATTGCAGGCCACATCACATCAGTTATCAAAATTGAAAAATTGCACAGGAGTTAGATGTCTAAGAGGGGAAAGAGGTGGAAACTGCTTGGGCATAAAACCACAAAGAGGTACACAGCAGCCTGCAGCAGTCCTTAACCTCTACCTATCCTCTCGCAAAGCTAAAGGGCAAGCTAGATAAAACCACCAAAGCAGGTGCCTACACTTCCTTCAATGTTGACCAGGAGCTGGCCACTGCAAGTTAGTCATCAGCTTTGCCATATCCTCCTCTCTAAATGATTCAGAGTTATCTTCTTTCTCAGTGGCACACATCATTCAGAGTTAGGTCAAGAAAGCGATCAGGTTTTGGAGAGGAAACTCTGGCACAGACCCAAAGCCCAAAGAAAAGGTGGTGTAGATAGCCAGAGGCGCAAAAAAGTGCTAAGGACTCCCAAGAGGCCATTGCATCTGGGATGACTGTTTTCTGTTATCTGTGTTTTGTCTGGAGGTGAACTGCATTGTTCCCAGAGTGTGTCCTCTATCACACATGTAAAATTAATAATCCAGACAGTGGGTGACCACAGAATGGAGATAAATGGTTGGGTACATTCATCTCCCCCAGCCCCACTCAGGTCGAGTGAAGGATTTCCTTGTGCTGGGATCTTCTCCCACTTCTTCTTCCCCTGCAACATGCACATTGGTTCAAAAGGTACAAATGGGCCCAAAGTTAGGTCTTCAGTCAAGGACAGGCACATACCTTCAAGCTGGAGAGAAACACAGCCCCTTACTGGGAAGTGTAGTAAGTGATGGCAATGCTGGGGGAGGAGTAGGCTCTAATAGGAGAGGGAACTAATACTCCTTCCCACACAAGGGGCCAGCTTTGGAGTATGTACCTCAGCTGAGAGACTGAACAGAGCCTTTATTAAGTGAATACAGCTCACTGTGTATTGAGACCTGTTGCTAATGCAGTCACCCTCTGCAGAGGAGAACTAAGCCAGGGTTATGATAGAAAAATTAAGCTGTTTTTTTTTTGAAAGACAGACTCCTGGTTTAAATTTCCTATTCTGATGTGACATCGAACAAGTTGCTAACATCTCTGTCTCTGTTTCCCTTCTACAAAAGGGGAAGCTATCTTGAGATTAGTTAGTAGTTGCATACCTGAGAAGAGAAAAGCACATCAGGGAGGATTAATATATTCACCATCTCCCGTGTACTACATCAAACTGCTGAAATCCTTTAAATCCCTTCAAATGCCTGTTTGAGAATGGCACAGTGATGAACTGAAGCAAAAATCTAGATATTTAAGACCTAAATTTTCCTTCAGAACATTGAGCTCTTTAAAGCATGTGGACAATTAACATGAATCAGCAGAGCTGGCCCAATCAGGAGTGTTCCCATCCCAAGTCACCATCTGCAAGAATCATTAAAGCATTAATGTGGCCCGCATTGTTCCAGTAATAGCCTACTGTAGACAGAAATAATAAAGGTCTATCTCTATAGAGATAACCTCTATAACCTCTCTATAGCATCTCTATAACCTAGTTGAGTATACGCAAATACGGGCAAAGCATAACCTTGGAATGTCATGGAGGAAATCCTTATGGATTCATTCACCCTAAACTGAGAAAAGTGCAAAATGTTTTGACTGTTTCCAAGGGATTTCTTAATGCCAATGGAAGGATACAGGGCGGCACTGCTATTCCAGAGCCAGGAAAGTTCATTGTTCCTCAAAACTTCACTCTTTGGGCAGGAAATCAGTGTAGTTCAGATCATGGAAATTGTAATTGTGACAGTCAGGGTATAAACAGTATCCACGCAGGCTCTTTGGTCTGCTTTTCATTCCTAATGCAATTGTTTCCTTCATAAAATCTTTTGCACTTTCTTCGAAGGAAAGTCTGGCTAAATGCTCACCGTCATTTGCTGAAATATTCCCTTGCAATTCAGAAATAAATTTCCTGGACTTTCTTCTGTAAATATCTGTTGTCTGCCAGTTGCAAGCCCACTGAAGCCTCCAGTACTCCTAGTCTATGACAGCTAATCCGTTGAAATCCTTAGCTGGGAAGTAATAGTTAATGTCACGGCCAGCTTTTTCCAGGTGAGTTTGCAAACTGAAGTTCTAGGGTAAGCCACCATTAACAGGAATTTCCTGTGATGTGTACTAAAGATAATAGCCAAGCCTATTAAAATAAAATATTGTCATGTTCTGCCCTCTTGCTTTAGCTAATGGGCTTCCAATTATATGGAACGTTTTCAAGTTCAGTATTATGTTGCATCTCAGGGAACACAGATCTGTCGGTGTTTTCCAGGCAGCTATAAAAGGCTTTCTATGGAAAACTGGTGGTCGGGCTGGTTTCAGAATGAGGGAAGAAGTCCAGATGGATGTTACGCACAGCCACCCTGTGAGTTGTAACATGTGAAAGATGCACAATAGTATCCCATTTTCAGGCAGTATTCTCATGACGTAAGAGACAACAGCAGACAGATCTCCCAGATTGTCTGTAAAGCATAAGAGAAGAAGTATTACTATTTATTCCACGTATAGCTATATGAATATGTATCAGCCATTTCTAAGGTATCACTGAATTACAGTAGCACTGAAGAAACAAAGTGGTCACAACCTAATCCAAATAAAGGGGGCAGATTCTCTGCTGGAGTAAACCAGTATATGTCTGTGGAGTGCAACTGCAGAAATTAGCAGCAGCTGCTGGTTTTGCCAGTCCAGGTCCTTCTGAAGTCACTTAGGATGATATCACTTCAGTGGGCTCTAGGGTGTCTTAGTGGCCATGGCTGTTGTAGCTGAAAAGGTTGGTGAAGAAATGGTTACCTCGTTCCTCAAAAACTCTCAATAATAAGAAAAATAAACTATCAAATCAAACCTTAGCTTTTATCATCATCTTTATAACTTTGTGAACCTGCCTGACCTGACTAATACTGTGCCAGCTAGAGATGCTCAAATAGCTCTAAACAAGCATACATATTTCACTGTCATCATGCAGTACCATAAAGGGATACAAGATCAGACCCCCTAACAGCAATAAACCAGACCCATGAAAGGCTGTTCTGAACTACTTATTAGTCTGACTGCATTATCAAATTGAACTAGCTCCTTACATACCAGCTCATATTGGTTTGCACAGCAATCCATTATGCAATGTGGACTTTTATGCCAGGCCTGTGGCCACTGGTACAAGCAGAATTGTTAGTCACAAGGCCCATGCCGGCTATGCACATATTGCGCAGAAAAGAAACCAGACAAAAAGCAAAACATATAATGTGTGTGTGTGTGTGTGTGTGTGTGTGTGTGTGTGTGTGTGTGTGTGTGTGTGTGTGTGTGTGTGTGTGTGTGTGTGTGTGTGTGTGTGTGTGTGTGTGTGTGTGTGTTTATAAATATATAAAATGCATATATATATATTCACATAAACATGTTTGTGCATGTGTACATGTATATGGTTGTGACAGTAGTAGAAGTGCTTAGGAGAAGGGTGGTGCTTCCATTGTTTCAGACCACTATTCTGGCATGGCACCACATTGCCCAATACTGTCAGATACCGTATAAAAGTGAAGCATCCAAAACTGTTGAAGAAAACGTGCCATTAGTCACGCATGGCAAGAGCCCTGGGCCATATACATCTTTGCTAAAACAAAGAGGGGAGGGGAGACAGGAGAGAAGGAGAGAGAGAGATGAGCACTGAGATCCCACCCTTCTCCTGAAGAAGACTGCATCTGACCAGTGGCATGTTCTATCTTGGCTGATTTAGTGAGCAGGAGTATCAAACACCAGTGTAAGGCATCAAGCCACTAAAAGCCTGCATTGTTTTCTACATCTGTACTATATATATGCATATATTTATTTGTTAAACAGCTATAGTGTCATTGTCTGTGCCCATCCTTTGCCCACATATCACAATCATCTCTATCATAAAAATATGCCCTTTACGCAATGCTGATACGCCCCTCTCCACCCAAGTAGCACGGCCTCAGCCTCCTGTGCTTTGCTCACTCATTAGTGTGGAATTTGCTTACTCAGCCTTACCCTCACCCAACCCTGAGCTCCCCTCCACATTCAGCCCTAGGGAAATCCCAAGTAGCAGTACAACCATCAGCGTCGTGGATTTGTACTTTTCCAAGTCTTACTTCTTTTTCTTCTTCCTCGGTCCCTGCCTAGCTGTTTCTCTCTCCTGGGAGTGTGAACTGCTGGAGGTAAGGATCATTTGTGTCATTTGAGCAGCCAGACTGGTAAATAGGTGAATAGGAATAACAAGCGTATTTCTCCAGGGCATCTAGGATAGCCTCTCTTTATACCAAAAAAAACCCCAAACAAATCAGGTGATATCTATGCACCTGTGGCATTTTTATGACAAACCCCCTCAATTTCTTTACTATTTTAGGACCTAGTTTTGGGTACCTGCAGCAAAACCAACAACATACAAGGTAGTGAACCCAGGCACTTTTAATAAGCCATAGGTGCATTTAGGGTACAAGTCACCTGATGGTTTGTGACACTAGAGTGATTTGATGTGTCCTATACATGCCAGTTTCCTCTACTGACTACAAAGGCAGGCCACAGGACCAATGCATGTGCGGTGTCAACATGCAGAACTCAAAATTTCGTCAGAGAAATCTCAACCCCAGAGACTCACAATGTTGTGCATTTAGTGAGGAGTAGTCCCAGATTTTCAAAAGCACTTTCGGCAAACTAGACGGCTGACCCATATGAAAAGGCAAAGGGAGGAACATATCTAATTGGCATTAATATGCCTTTTGGGAAATGGTTTTAATGAAAATTAGCTTAATTTTCTCAGTATCTCTCAGAAAGGACATTCCATGCCGAGAAAGTAAACTCAGCAGAGCCACTCAGGGCTTCTCAGCTTTGTAGGCCAAACTAAATTTTGTCACTACAAGGCTGTACCGTCCGAGCTGGACCAAGGTGGGCTTGCTCTTGTGAAGGAGCAAACACCCAAGAACCAGTTTTAGGGAGTCAGGCTTGCTGCCCTGTTGGCTTGGAAGGGAGGGAGTGGAGGGAGGGGGCTTTGTGTCAGCACCAGCCACAGTGCCCCCTCCTCCAGCCTCTCCCTCGGATCAGCAAAAGCCTTTTGGCTTTCCAGGAAGGAGCAGGGGGGCTATAGCTGGGCTGCCCAGCCATTTGCTGCCTACAGAAATGCTCTGTTTGCCTCCAAGAAGCTCCAAAATTCAGGCAGGCCAGTAGATCCCCAGGCAGGTACCCACCGCGCTCCCTCTGCCAGCAGGTACCCCCTACACTGGCACATCTGGCTGTGCATGATTTTGTTCACAGAGCCTCGAAGCTGCAAGAAAATCCTACCAGAGGGCAGCAAATCCCTACAATTACTCTTTAAAAGCAGCTATATGCGATCTGTTTTTCAGTTCCCTTAGGGGGATCCGTGCTGCTGTCAGGCAGCTGTCCTCCCTGGCCTGTCACAGGCTGGGTGGGTAAAGTGTCCCCGAGCAGTGCTGAGCGCAGCCCTTGAAGGAGCTGTCTGAGGTTCCAAGGAGGGCTTCCCACGTGGCGCCTGCACGCATTGATTTTCACCGCGCGCTCACTTTGCACGAGCATGCGGGTGGCCGGCTTGCGTGGGGCTAGGGCTCCCCCGGGGCAGAGCGGCCCCTGGGCCGGCAGCACCAGGACCAGGGTTGTCCCGCCAGGCTGTGTGACCCCAGCATGCACCCCAGCCTGAGTCACCTGTCATCTGGCCGCTGATATCCCTGTCAATAATAAGTTACTGAACACTCCAGGGAAGTGGCAGTTCTATTTTTGCAGCAGTGTGAGCTGATCTGGTACAGAAAGCACCCCAGAGAAAAACTTACCATGCGGGGACCTGCAGGCAAAAGGTACTTGTAGGTGTTCTACTGTTAAGAAAGAAACAGTCACCATTTTATATTACACTCTGAGGGCAAACCACTGAGGTTTACCGGCTTCTGATTTTATTCCCTTTGGCATGCTTTGCCTTCACACATATTTGAGCCAGGAGCAAGCTCTGCAGGCACTTGTGTGCAGCAAGCTGGGAGGAAGCCCTGTGCCCAGGCTCTGCTCAGCGTCGTTCCCTTCACCCAGGCTTTTTAAATCTGATTCTAGTTGTGCGGCATTATAGTGCACACTAGGAACTTCTCCGCCCCTTTCTGCTCGATATTTCTCTCAATTATGTCTGTTATAATTGCCAAAAGCCAGGATGAATGTGTCCAATTAGACTTCTCTGCTAATTATGGTTGTTCTGTGAACCGAGTCAGCACAGAGGCAGCCCGCCTTCGTGTCCAGCTGACAGTCAAAATGCACAGTGGCAGCAATTCCCAACAGACAGAAGCAGATGGAGACCTTATGTCTTTATTAGACAGCAAACAGCTCTAGGCAGGCCTAAGCAAAACCAGCTTAAAACATACAGTTCAGAATTGGATAGACACAGAGGACTTTACTTGTACCGGTTCACAGGATCGTGCTGAAAAAAAAAAATAGCTAACTAAATGATAAGGGAAAGGCTAAGGATCAAATTATATAAGCTCTGTATTCTCTCCCCCAGTTAATCTATAGCTGAGAAATGTACTTTAAAATGTTGACATTTATCTTGTAAGAGAATTAATTCTGTACCAGTGATGTCACTTTACTCATTCAAAGGATTAGAAAAATTAGAAATGATGAATAACGACAGTGAGGTTTTTTTTTTTCCTTTCCAGTTAACATTGTTACAGCAATGTGACATTGACTCAACACAACAAGCTGATGGGCTTAAAACAGGCTGTCTCAATAGGCCAGCCAATTACCCTTTTCAAAGAGGTGCATGTTTTTTAAAATGTGAATTTTCACACTCACAGAGATCCAATAAAATCCCTGCATTTTTACAGAATTATCATTTTGTTGACTTCTTATCAGCAAAGCTAAAGCTGATACACTCAGAAGTCTCATGCGC